TTATATATTTATATATATATATATATATATCTTATATATTTTATATTTATTATAGTATTATATGTATAAATATATTTATAAGTATATAATATACTAAGTATAAAAGATTAAATGCATTTTGAAGCAGAGGTTGAATGCAATACATATATAGGGAAGAATAAAAAAGACAAACTATGTGTTATCTATTTAACAAAGTAAAATTATTGTTACGTATGCTCCGTCTGAGCAGTTAGAATAGAGAACTGGACCCAAAAGCAAAATCACTGAGAGCAACTGTTAGGTGCACAGAGTTTATTCTGAACTATTCGGAGTTTGCAGTGAACAGTGACAAAAGATTTAACAAACAAAGAGTGTCCACGTGGCAGTGAAAAAATCCCGACAATTCCTGAGGCACCAAATTTTCACCCTCCATGGCAACGTGCTCCAAAACTCCTGGACAAACATCCACAAAACAAATATGGATTATCAATAGAGAACAATTCATGGGGAAATCAACTGAACGTGATAATTCCACCTAGGTTGTAATGGCAATGCTCTGGCGCTGGTTCCATGCTGAAGCCGTGTTTAAATATCTCTTATCGCTGATGAGTCAATCAAACAGTAGGTGTGAGACGCCCATCCAGACCGCCCATACACACACCCACATATCCAAAAGAGAATATCACCACCCTCTCCACTCTCACATGCCTCACAGTACTCCCCCCTGACCCCCAAAAGGGTGCCTCCTGGCACCTTAGGCTTGTCAGAATGAGCCCTGTAAACGTCCCTGATGAGAGTGGGATCTATAATGTTTGCCCTCAAAACCCATGATCGTTCCTCAGGTCCATAACCCTCCCAATCCACCAAAAATTGCCACCCTCTCCCCTTACGGCGTACGTCCAGCAGGCGTATTTGAAGAGAAGCTGGAAACTTCAGCTTGATCGCCAATGGACTAATGACTGTCTCCACTTCATATGGGCCAATTAATTTAAATATCCTGCTCTCAACCTGTAATTGAATCTTTCTGGTTGACAACCATACCTTTTGGCCTGGCTCATACGAAGGGGCAGGAGACCGACGCTTGTCTGCAGCTGTCTTCGTCCAGACTTGAGACCACAGGAGTACCTCCCTTGCCATTCTCCAGACTTGATGGATTAGTTGAATATTCCCCTGCACCGAGGGAACTGCTACTTCAACCTCCTGTTCAGGGAATAAAGGAGGTTGATAGACCATGGCAACCATGAATGGTGACATATGTACCTGTGGCAGAGGTAGACAGGGAATTGAGGGCATATTCCAGGGGAGGAAAGCGGTCGAAGAAGCAGGGTGACGGCTCGTTACACAACAAAGAGCAGTCCCGAGATCCTGTTTAGCCCTCTCTGCCTGTCCGTTGGATTGGGAATGATAACAAGAGGATAGTGAGGTTGAAGCCCCCAACGACTTGCAGAATGCCTTCCATACTTGTGATAAGAATTGCGGGCCTCGGTTTGACACGATGTCCTGGGGAATCCCATGGAGACGAATGAAATGTTGTACTAGAAGTTCTGCTGTATCTGTGGCAGAAGGAAACTTGGGAAGGGGAATAAAATGCACCGATTTAGAAAATCAGTCTACAATGGTTAAAATGGTGGAATTACCTAATGACATAATGGTAATCCAACGCAGTGTGCGACCAGGCATGGCTGGGACCCTTCAATGGTTGCAACAGGCCAGATGGAGACTGATGTGAAGATTTGCTTTGTGCACAGACTGTGCATGCTGTGATGAAACTCTGGACATCCCGAGACATGGCTGGCCACCAAAAACGTTGTTGAAGATGACATGATTATTTCGAAGAATGCCCCCACTGCAGAACCTGGGACCTAACCATCTCTGAAATATACAAGCGCTTGGGTGGACCGTTACCAGGATCGGGATCATCTCGAACTCTATGTTTGATATCCCAGGTTATTGTCACTAGCACACAGTTGGAAGGAAAAATGTTGAAATTCCTCTGGATTGCCGCCGCCTCCTCCCCCTTGTCGAGTCTAGAGAGTGCATCTGGCTTGGTGTTACGGGATCCAAGGCGGTAGGTGAGAGTAAATCGAAATATCTCCAAGAACAGGGCCCACCTGGCCCACCCGGGTGTTCCGCCCCTTCTAGTCAGTACCTCCACTCCTTCAACGCCAGGATGACTGCTAACAGTTCCCGGTTTCCAACATCATAGTTTGGAAGCACAGGGGTGTATTTTCTGGTCCCTCTTACCTCGTTGGGACAGCACGGCTCCCACCCCGGTGTCTGACGCATCTACCTCCACAACAAACTGGCGTGCCGGGTCTGGGTGAGCTAACACCAGAACCGATGTAAATTTTTCTTTTAGGAGCTGAAACGCTCGCTCTACCTCAGGTGACCACAGGTCAGCGACTTTCGTGGAGGTTGATCGAGTTAACGGGGTAGCAATCTGACTGTCATTTCTGATAAAGCGTCTCTAAAAGTCACCAAATCCTAAAAACCGCTGTAGCTGTTTGCGGGTCTTTGGATCCGGCCACCCAGCCACCGCCCGCACCTTGGAAGGATCCGGCTTCACATGCCCCTTCTCCACAATAAATCCTAAAAATGAAACAGAGCCAACGTGAAATTCACAGTAGATGTGCAGCACCATTCTAACGTGCTGCACACGTTCCTTCAGATTACGAGATTAAAAAATCAAAATGTCATCTAAATAGACGACCACAAAACGATTGAGCATGGCCTTGGTCAACGACGTACTTAGACGTCGTTGACCAAGGCTTGGAAAGTAGCCGGGGCATTGGCCAACCCAAACGGAATTACAACGTATTCAAAATGTCACAACGGTGTCTTAAAAGCGGTCTTCCATTCGTCTCCCTGCCAAATTCTTACAAGATGATAAGCGTTCCGCAGATCTAGTTTAGAAAAACTACCCGCCTGATGGAGCGGCTGGAACGCAGAATCAATGAGCAGTAACGGGTATTTATTTTCCACAGTGATCTCATTAAGCGTTCTAAAATCGAAAAACGTCTTGTCCCTTTTAGCAACAAAAAATAATCCAGCCCCAAGAGGTGAAGACGATGGACGAATGAGCCCCGCGGCCAACGACTCCCGAATATACTGCTCCATCGTCGCTCTCCCCCGTGCGAGACAGATTATACAATCTGCTCGACGGTAACGACGCACCAGGGAGGAGATCTATAGCACAGTCGTAAGGCCGATGCAGAGGAAGAGAGGAAGCTTTTTTCCTTAGAAAATACCTGAAAAATTCGTGGTATTGAAGAGGTACGCTGGTTAAATCGAGAGGAAGACAAATAGCTTCGGACACCTGCGCAGGAGAGAGAGCAGAGTGCAAACAGAAAGAATGGCAGTGCACTCCAACTCAGTACCACATCCGTAACCCAGTCGATATGAGGATTGTGTGTCTGGAGTGTTGATAAAATATATTCATGTGTTCATATTTTATAGAAGTATGCAACATACATAATCATGTTTTAAAAAGATCATAAGAGATGTGCTAAAACATATAATCAGCTTGAACATAAAATGCTGCTTAAAGCTAGAACTGAAAACATGCAGATGTAGAGAAGGAGCTGCGAGGTTGAGATAAAACCAAGGTTGGTTGTGAAAAGAGGAGTACTTGGTGGGGTGGGAAACAAACTTTTAGAATAAAATTTGACAATGGCTGGATTCATAGTTAGAACACAAGGCCCCAACAACAGCACCTGGGCGCGATAAGAACGGGATGAGAAACCAACGGTGTAGATGTAGTTGCCAAAAAGAATGGATATGTGTGTGTAGAACAAATGAAGTCTGTATTGCTTGATATGTACCACCCCTGGATATGTGTGTCAATAAAACGAGCCTGAGTTTGTGGAGAGTCAGCAGTCACCCCCCTGACTCTCCGCTGGACCCTCCCTGTGCACAGGCGAACTCGAGCAACGACTTTTGTCTTTTCTTTATACTTTGTGAAAGTTCTTGATCAACGAATCCGGGGTGGTAAAACCTTACCACAACAGGAGCCACGGTCTCCCCAGAACATTTGAGGTGAGGTGAGGATATAACCATGAACTGAGGTGATTCCCTGAGAGATGAAGGGTTATGGACCTGGTTCGATGTGTGAGCGTATGATATATTTGTTCATATTGAACTCACGAATCACTCACAAATCATTCACTGCGAACAAATCACTCTCTGTGAACTAATATTTCACTGTAAACTAATCTTTCACTACTAACAAATTACTCTCTGCAAAGTAGTCTATGGCTGTGAACTAATCTTTCACTACGAACTAATCTTTCGCTGTGAACGAATCATTCTCTGTGAACTAATCTTTCGCTTCATTCTCGCAGATTCGTTTCATTTGTCACGTGACAGAGAGCTCGGGTCTTTTTTGCTCTCATTCATCTTCACATTGTGGTGTGTTTTAATTTCTTAGCTTTTCACATGGTTTTAATTGCTTACTGCACTTTGTGTACTTTGTAGACTTTGTCAGCGGAAGGAAACCATTTTGCCTTCAGTATTTAGTGTCGGAGAACCGCAGCCTTCTTTACAACGCCCACAATAGGGCTAAAGCGCAACCTGCTGTACAACGAATGAAATGATTACTTCAAGATTCGTTCATTTTACTGTTCAAGTGTCAAAGAGTCGGTCTTCCCATCACTATAATACGTCCTTGATATTTTCGTTGAGACCCTGTATACAGACTCCCTGCAGCGCCAAGTTGCCCCACCCACTTTCCACAGCAAGGATCCGAAAATCCACTGAAAACTCCGCCACTGAACCGAAACCTTGAGCCTCATTCTTCCCCCTCATTTCACCCGTGAACTGAGAGTAGGAGTCACAGATGGAAGAGTCTCTCTCCCATAGTGCCATGGTCCACTTAGCGGCTCTCTCAGAGAGGAGGCTGATGGGATACGCCACTCTGGACCCCTCTGTAGGGTAGGTGTTTGGCTGCTAGTGAAAAACGAGGGAGCACTGCACCAAAAATCTGCCACATGTACCAAGATCCCCTGTGTGGCTCTGGGGAAGCGGGAGTGAATGAACCAGCACCTGGGTGCAGGGTTGGCGTTGGAGCCCCCGCTCCTTGCGCAACCGAAACTCGTAACTGGTTTAAAGAGTCAATCGTCTCCCTAATCATCGTATCGTGTCTTCCCAGGATAACCCCTTGGTGCCTGAGATATGCTCAGTGTTCGCTGGGTTCATTGTGGCCAGAGCGTTCTGTTACGTATGCTCCGTCTGAGCAGTTAGAATAAAGAACTGGAACCAAAAGCAAAATCACTGAGAGCAACAGTTAGGTGCACAGAGTTCATTCCGAACTATTCGGAGTTTGCAGTGAACAGTGACAAAGGTTTCATCAAACAAAGAGACTGTCCACGTGGCAGTGAGAAAATCCCGACAAGTCCCGAGGCGCCAAATCTTCACCCTCCGTGGCAACGTGCTCCAAAACTCCTGGACAAACATCCACAGAACGCAGAAGTTACACCGGTTATACTTGGATCTCCGATCAGCGTCAACTGGTCACCCGAGGTACTGGTGCTGCACACGCTTCGCCTCCTCTCCTCTTCCACGGTGCCAGCGAAGAACTACACTAGCTACGGTTCTGACCCGCTGCTCTCCAGATCTTCGATGGTGCCGGTGAGGATCTACAGTACGCTCACTAGCTGCGTACCTGAACCGCGACTCTTCGGCTCTCTTGCGCTGTGTCGGTGAGAAGCAAATTGCTAACTGGCTTCTTTGCGCCCAGCTTTCACGCATACGCATCAGGTCTGTTGGCCCTCCAGTAACCACGAACAAAGGTCCGTGGTTACTGGAGGGCAAGAGACGTGGTTCAAAGTTTGAAAATACAAATTTTATTCAACATTTGTTTTGTTTTTTTGTTTTTTAAGTATACTCAATAAAACGCATTCACATAAAATAAAAGGAAAACCTAATCAGGGCTGAGGCCGGAGTGGATGGGCAAGGGCTAGTGCATGATCCATCAAAATAAGGCAAAAATAACTTATATCACCAGGCACACGTGGCAAACACACCCTCAGTGAAGAAACCCACTCCCAGGGACACAGCAAGATACGACAGGAGGACACCACCACCAAGTCACCAGCACTGCCACCACTGGCCTACAGCAACTGAAGAGGAAAAAAGAATAGCACATTAGTGGGGTAGTCCCCAATAAAAGAAAAAAAATGCTTATGCATAGGACCGCGGTGTACGGCCGAACAATCGTCCTGCACAGCGTGTATCTTGGAAGTCGTGAATCCGCTGACGGCCGCAGAAGAACGTCGCAGGCAGCAACAGACACACGGCAATACAGTGAAAACAGCACAAAATAACACCAAACAAAGCAGCAGCAGCCCAATCAGGTGGTTACAACACCTAGTCAAAAGGAAAACACTATTAGCATGTGCTAGATGCATTAAGATTGATGCAGTCACATGTAACAATGTGCATACCTTCTCAGAACATACACACTCGCAACGCGGAAGATAGAATGAACTGTTAACTCTCTGTGGTTCACTGCTCCTCCACAGTTATGTTGCTGTGGACGTTTATGACGCCGCTCCTGCTCACAGCTGCTCACATGTGCCGAGGTGAGTGCCTATGAAAGCTAAGACACAAAGACAGTAAACTGAACAAAGTTGTAAATGTATGCATTGTAAAACTATTGCCAGTAAGGGCAGCAGCAACAGTTGCGGTTCAGAGGAACCAGTGGAGACAGATTTTAGGAACTGAAATTTCCTGGAAATTCAACATGTGTCAGAAAAGGTCACTCAGAGTTGGTTTTCTTGAGACATTCGTCACGTCTCAGTGCCTGGTCGGTGGTAGCAGGCGTTGCTGTG